GGGGGGGGGGGGGGGGGGGGGGGGGGGGAGCCCCAGGAATTCACTTGCCCCGGGCCTCGCAACTTCCTAATCCGGCCCTGCCTGCTCTAAATCTTCACTCTCTAATTGGTTAAGAACTTCAGATTAGGTATTCCAAGATGAAATAGAGACATCTTCGAAAATAATAGGTCGTCCTGGGTGGTAGGAAATGATTGCGTTGCAGGTCCCTACTCCTTGTCTCTGGGACATTGCACTTGTCCCAGGGGGATATCTTTGGGATATACCTGTGCTGTGTGGGTTGAATACGCTGCTGAAGTGTGTGACCCTTTTGAAATGGGAAACAAAGAGGTTTTGGAAAAGGTACAAAAGTGAGCTGCACGATTTGTGCTCAGCAACTTCAATTAGGAAACTGACTCCAGTGATCTTGTGCAAGAATTGGATTGGCTAACCTGGTTAATAGGCGTAAGAATGCAGGCTCATTCTATTCTACAATATCATTCACGACACACCGTTACTTGACGCTCAGATGTGGTTGACTAAAAATAATAACAAAACAATGAAGGGCATGCAGAGCTGGTCTCTGCATCACATTCATGCTAAGACTAGTTTAAATACAGTTTTTTTTTTTCATCCCCAGACAGTTGCTGAATGGAATGCTCTTCCCCCCATCACAGCTGGAAGATCCCTACCCACTGTAGAATCCTTTAAAAAATTCCTCCAACCAAGAATCACCTATTCTACAGATCTACTCTCCAAGCTTGATACTTTTTTGCGTGATACGGAATTGCCAAACCCTCACATTGAGGGAAGAATTGAGGATATGAGGAAAAACGGATATACCGGACGGATGGTCACTCGCGTCGAATCACTAGTAACTTAGCGCATAGGCCTAGCCTAACATTAGGATTGGGTATGCTTATCCTGTTGGAACTAACGTTAGCTTCAGTATGGCAGCCTGTTCTAACATTGGCAGGCATAGGCAACCCTTCCCTAGTAGTACATAACATTGAAACAATATGGTTTCAATGTTGATTCAACATCGTTGAATCAATGTTATTTGCTACTAGGGATATTATCCCGTTGTTTCTTGAACATGCAAACATTCAATGCAATTGCATTAAGAACGGTCAGGACATGAACTAGCATATGTGTGTAGGCATATGAGGTGTCCCAACTCAAGGGAATGCATGTTGGCCATATGGTGGGGGCAGAAAAATTACCATAGAGTCCATGCTATAAGTAAGAGGGAATGTATGCAGCAGGGCTTCTCAAGAGTGATAATTCAATCATGAGATGCCCTGCTGCATACAACAAAATTTCCATCAAATTTGATGAAAATTGTTTAAAATTTGTTTCATGTTATGTTATTTAATATTATTTAACATTTTTATTGAAGGGACTTTGTGCCCATCCTGTAAAAATCTTACTTTTTCCCATAGAAAGCAGTAGGGTGTTTTATTTTAATCACCCTATATATGTCAGGCTGGTTTCTTCGATTTTACGCCTCTGTCTGAGGAACAAGACTCTATGATGGTATTAAAATTATTTGTGTAGTATAAGCGAGCCATGGGGATTCTGAAATGGGAAATTTCTGCAGCTCATCTGAGTGTCTGGCTAATAGATTCTCATGTTGGAATCTCCAATATATGTTTGGCAAGATTAATCTGTATTTTCTTCTTGGTTTTTGTTTGACACAAGACTTAGAATTACATGTGAAAGCAGTATATGGAGCATTGGTGCTGAACATTTGGCTGACTTAAGGAATATACTGATTGTTACAAAATAAGCTATTTCTATGGATAGTTCTTATTGTGCTCCTTGACAGCTTCATGCACTTACTGTGAAAATACATCAAGCCAATATGCCACCTGAGAAAGATCCTTACACATTTTGGCAAGAAACTCTGCATGGAGCAAGGTACATTGTGGCTCCTATGGTGGATGCAAGTGAACTGGCATGGAGACTCCTAAGTCGACGGCATGGAGCACAGCTTTGTTATACTCCCATGCTTCATAGTGCTTCTTTTGTCAAGGATGCAAAGTACAGGAGGGATGCACTGCAGTCCTGTGATGAAGACAGACCCTTATTCATTCAGGTGAAGTTCCTATGATGTAGGTTAACTATTTCCAAGTGGAGTGCATTTTCCTTGGATGGTATTCAATTAGTAGCATTAAGCACTTACCCTCACCTGATTAATTATTGATAACTTCTCATCACTCCTATAAATTACAGGCATAATCAGCCCATAGTTTCTTGTCAAGATATAATCTCTATTGGCACTATTGGAGGTGGGATATTAACTCTCAACATTTTTTATTATGACCATATGGCATGCCTCTTATTGGACCTGTCAGCCATAAATGACCATTTTCATTGGTTGATATTCCATCCCAAGCACATTGCACAGTGTTACTCATCTTGTCCAATTCCTCTTGAGTTTGAGTTTTTAGGATGCCATTTGCCAGACCTTATGGCAGGGGTGTCAAACTGGCGGTCCACAGGCCAGATCTGGCCTGCCAGTCTATTTTGTCCGGCCCGCAAAGCCCTCTTCAGCAGTCAGTTATGGAAAATTACTGCAAATTTCAGCCTGTCTAGGATTAGGTATTAGGCTTTTATTGTGGCCCCTAATCACCCCTGAAGGCTTCCATCCAGCCCCCAGCCTTATCGAGTTTGACACCCCTGCCTTATGGTTTGCTTAACTGCCTAGGCTTTCTTCAGTGTGTAGATTGGGTGTAATGAAAGGGAAATTTGTGAAGTTAAGGAAGCTTGATCACTGACTTTTATGGTTTAAGTGAATGGTAAGCATTTAAACAATTAACAACTATAAAGAATTTTTTATGTTTAGTGATCCACACAAATTGTACCCAAACCTCATGATGCCTACTTTAATATGAAAGAAGTACCCTTTGAAGGAGTCAAAACTATGAAGCTATCATTTTTTTGACTACGTAATGCATTATATCTTAGTTGAAAAGATTGGATTTAAAAATTTTTTTTATATGTTTAAAAAATAAAAACATAAAATTTAATCAATTTCTAGTACTGATATGTTAGTGTTAGAAATTGAATGCATAGAAACAGAAGCTTTATTCTTCAGGATTATTAGGCAGTATTTTTTACTTGCTGAAAATCACAATTTTCTCCACTTTATGTACTGATTTAATGTCGCCAGTGCAGTTTATCTTTAGTTAACTAAAACTAAATTAAAGTTGGACTGCCAACATTCCAGTTTCAGTTGGCTGAAACTAAGGATACACTGATTCAGGTGTACCCAATACCAATACCTCCCAGTCACCATCAGAACCCAGAAATGAAATCCCTGCCTCTCTGAAATTTTATTCAAGAGATGAAGAAAGGCTTGTTTGTTTTCAAACATGTGAGCATGTCAATCTTTTCCATATTCAACCTGTTCCTCTCAGAGTAGCAGATGACACCAGAGCAGTGAAATATTCTCTCTGAAGGCATACTCATCATGGGAATCACAGTGTGCAGCAGTGGAGAATCACATTAGATCAGCCATCTCGGTCTATACCAATCCTGGCTGATCCACTTGATATAGGCTAATTCCAATACATAGTATTGGTCCTTAACTGAAACTATAACTAAAGTGGAACTAAACTAGAATTAAAAGAACTGTGCTCTCTAGCCTCTGACAAAGTATGGGAGTAGCCTGAAATGACCTAGTCATTAACTGGGGGTGGATTTCACATGATTTCTTTTCAAGTTTTTCAAGAAATCCCAAGTACCCGTATTTTAGATATTTTCAGTTTATCTCTTGTTCATTTTTAGTTCATCTACAGTTAACAGGGACTCAAACCGATATGAAATTGAACTGAGACTAAACCAGGACTAAAACTATTAATAAACTGAATGACTTCAAGATACAGAGTATTTACAGTGTTCCTCAGTGAGTTTTCCATATCTTGCAGAATGCTAAGCCCTAGCAGCAAAATACTCTGCACCTCTCTCAGAAAGAATTGCACGCATTGCACAATTTTTCATATTCCCTGCTCTCCTCCACTCCTCCAGTGCTGTTAATATGAAGACAACCTGGTAACCCTGACAGAAACCACATCCTGGACCTTTGAAACAATGGCTGCATTTTGTCAATACTTTCTGTCATTACTTGCAATGCAATCGATGAAAATTTCCATGTGTGAAACTCATTTTTCATTTGCTTATTGGTCTTTTCATGGAGTACAGTACTTTAGTGTAATACATGGATCTGGGTGCTTAACATCAATCTATTTTAAAAACTATCAGTAGGTCATGCATTCCTCTCTCCAATGGTTGTCAGATGGAAGTGTCATTTGGAGCAGCCCTCGTTGGCTGAGTACAAAACATTGTGCAATGTGTGCGGATCATTTTGAAGAGTATGAAGCAATATGCCTCTAGTGCATGAAAATGTGCAGCAGGTATGAAAGTCTATGGGAAACACTATAAATATGCCTCAGAAGGTGGAGGATACCAAGTGTGACTGATCTAGTCTCTTTCAGTGTTCTAAGGTTATCTTTAATTGTTGCTTGGGGTTGGCATACATTGAGGGAAGGGAATTTGAGTGTCTTCTGTCAATCTTCTTGTTCAATAATTTATGCATCCTTCCATCAACAAGACCTCTGCAACAATAATGAAGCCTTAATCAAAATATAGACATCTCTCTATCTCTCTCTCTTGTAGTTTTGTGCCAACAAGCCGGATGTGCTTCTAAAAGCTGTGAAGATGGTTGAGGGTCATTGTGATGCTGTAGATTTGAACCTAGGCTGTCCTCAGGCAATAGCAAAAAGGGGTCATTATGGAGCCTTTCTTCAAGACGATTGGGATCTGGTCTATTCATTAGGTGAGCTTTGATTGTCCCTTTCATTCTTTTTGCTAAAGGCTTCTTTTCCTTTAAAAAATTTATCTATTAGTGTAGTGAGCTTTTCCTAAATTAATCTATGTTCATTTTGCCAGGATGGTCTTGGCAATAGAGAGATAAAGTGTATTTTTCTTGATGAACACCAGTCAGGACAGTGTACGAAGGGAGCAAATTGCCTATCACATGCAAGGTTAGAGTTTTCCCTGATATTGACAAGACGGTGAGGTATGCCCAGATGCTTGAGAGTGCTGGAGCTCAGATCATCACAGTGCATGGTCGTACACGTGAACAGAAGGGGCGATTTACTGGCCTTGCCTCATGGGCTCATGTCAAGGCTGTCAAGTAAGTATCCACATACACTCTACTGATGTCATATCAGAGTTCACTTTTGAAACCAAAATTAAAAGAGGGAAGAATGTCATGGTTTATTGGTTGAGATAGATCATGATGCCTACCCTTGCATTTTCCACCAGCTGGAGCTTTTTTAGGCATTCCTTGGAAGTTGAGTCATTGCTTTTGCAGAGAATGTCTTCATGATTTTTGCAAAGGATCCCTCCAAGGCTACCATTCTTGACTATCTCTGATTCCATTTGAGGCACCCAATAGGCTTTTTGTGCTTGTAAAATATTTCTGGCAGACTGCTGCAGGATGCCATAATGGACTCCAATTGCTGGTAGCTCCTTCTTCAAATGATGCAATCCAGATGATTTGTGCTGTTGCATGCATTTGTACTTGTGCTTTGGGCAGTTTGGATTCCTCTTTTGCTTATTTTCCTCATGAGGAGGAGGGTGGGAAGAAATTAGTGGTACTCGCTCTGATCTGAAGTAATCCAGGAAGGAATTGCCTTGGCAGAAAGGACTATTTTCCCCTTCATAATATTGAAATTGTGGGCTGACTTCACAATGCCTTTGAATATCTTCTAGCAGTTTCTGGTATTTTTCCTTCAATTGTAATTTGAAGTTCAGCTGTTGCTTTTTCAAAGACATGTTTTTTGTAGATAGGGATTCCACCATGTGCTTCAGGGTCTGAAGCTCCTTTTCATTGTCTAGTACCTGGTAATACATGTGCATGTCATTTCATTATTTCCTCATGAGTTTGATGAAATTCCTATCAAAGAACTGACTTGTTGTTGGAGATGAGAATTGCAAAACTTGAGAGAAATCAACTCTTGTTGAAGATGTTGAAACCTGTCTTGTATGGCTTCTTTTGTCTTGCCAGAGTGTGCAGTATTCAATGCAGCTGTCAGTTCTTCAATGGTCTTCTCTTTCTCAAGGAGGTCGTTTTTCAGTCCTTCAACTGTCTTTTGCTTCTTTTCAAAGTCCTGGCTTACTCTTTCATTCCTTGCTTGCTGTTTCTGCAGAATCTGAATGACTCTCCAGTATTCATCTGCCTGTAGAAACACAACTCTATTTTTTTTGGGTTCTTTTCAATCTTCATACAAGCCTGATTTTTACAGAGGTGGATGAAAAATTTTAGTTGAGATGAGACAAGAATGTTATGTCCTCAAGAACAGCCTTCTGCGTCTATATTATCTGATGCACTGGCATATCACTTACCAGCTTTTCAAGGCTTTGAAGCCGCCTTCTGTCATGTTCAAGGTTCCTCACGGTGTTACGGATCCTTCTCTGGCAACTCTTTTTCCTGTTCATGGGCCCAAAGGTCCCACAGAAAAATGAGACTTCGCAAATAACCTTTGGAAACTCCCTCAAAGTGGCAGAGGCATAGGTTATAAATGTTGGGGCCACCTGGCAAATGGAAGGAATCCCAGGAGACAGTTTGGAATGATTGAGCTCTCTTCTTTCTCAGGATCCACCATTTTTGTTGTCTGTCCTTGGTTCATTTTGCATGGTTTGATGAGGGATGATGTATGATGGATGCAAATGTCAAGAATTTTCCTTCTCTGCTTCCATGGAAACCTCACTTTTAAAGCAAGAATGAAAGATTTAAATTTCTTGTGATGACTTTAGGAATGGACACCTTTTGTTGGTTATTAATAAATAAATAAAAAATAAGCATAAATAATAATAACCATCATGGTGGTGGTCAACCTTCTGGAAAAAGTTGACAGTGATGGTAATTCATTTATTATTTTATAGGTTTTCTCTTTGATCATATGCAAACCTGGAGATGCTTCTCACATAATAAACATTCTGTGAGATACTATGCATCATGAATCCTGAATGTTGCTTGCCTAGTTGTACAATTACATGTTTCTCTTCTCCATCAGACAGAAATAGAAGTAAAGCCCCAAGCTTTAGCTAAGTTATGTCATGTTAGGTAAACTCCTGACATCTCCAATGACTCCTTCCATGCTGTTTTTGAACTTTAGGAAGGCTGTGAAGATCCCAGTATTCTCTAATGGGAACATCCAGTACCTGAGTGATGTGGAGAGGTGTTTGAAGGAGACAGGAGTGGATGGAGTAATGACAGCTGAGGGGAACCTCCACAACCCTGCATTGTTCCAAGGACTCTCTCCTCCTGTCTGGGAAATGGCCAAGGAATACATGACCCTTGTTCGCCTTCACCCATGTCCCATCTCCTTCATTCGTGGCCATCTCTTCAAACTTTTCCAGCATTGGTAACTGATCTCTTTGGCAAATGAACCCAGTACTCAGTTGGTTTGCAGATTATGTGACAAGCTTGCTTTTATATTTAAGCATGTTGTTGAAAGAATGTAAGGATTTGAGAGATCGCCTTGCAACACGGTCCACATATGAAGACTTGCTATCCATGGTTGAAGATGTTGAGAAGCATTTTCATCTTTATCATGATGGGTCTAAGGAATTGGATCTCACAGAGGGTGAGTCTTGGATAATTTTTGGCTGAGGAAAATTTCAGAATGTGCTGCATTGCATGCCAAAAAATCAGGGCTGGTGTAATGGTGACAGCACCCATAAAATCAATTTAACCATACTTTCTCTGACAGTGAATTCTGTGGCCAAGTGTTTAGGACTTCCCTGTCAAAAGCATGCTTCCCGGGGAGTATCTATCAATGTCACTATCACATGCTACACTGTGCCAAATTTAGGAGATTAAGGAATAACTTGCCTTAAGAAGACCTCCCTCCGGTCAGTACCTGGCATTCCATAAGCCTCTCCTAAGGCCTTCTACAGAAAAATGAAGGGGCTCCCATTTCTGAAGAAGGATTTCTGAGTACCCACCGGAGGAGAGGTGAATTTATCACTTTTGAGGAAACCTGGGTATGCGGGGATACTCCTGAGACCAAAATGCAGTCAAAGATGTAAATACTGAACAGTAATCCACCTTCAACCAACTGCCATGAACTTTAGAGAGTAAAGATTAAAGAGTGAGTGATGAGTACTAGAATGCATTTTCTGATTGGGTTCAATGACTGGAAAAGCATGACTGTGCAGGGGCAGTTCTTGGAAGTTGGAAAAAGTTTTACATTTGTGGTTGAATACTCTCCAAGTTTTGAATAAGTGTACAGTAGAAACGGTAAAACCATCTAAGTTTGGACACTCTCACATACATCATTACGAAACCAAGCATTGGTGAGCTCTCCCTCAGAAACAGTTCTTCGTAGCTTTGAAAAGCTGTTTCTAAGGTGACCTAGCAAATGCTTTTGTTTCATAACAATTATTTTTATGGTGTCCGAACTTAGATGGTTATACCCCACTTCTCAAATGTATGTGTGAACATTTTTAGATGTACTAAATATGAGATCCATCTGATCCTTGCAGATTTCTTTTGTCAACTCTGTATTTTTTCTATTAAGCTGTAGAATGTGTGAAGAAGTTGAGGGAACCTATCTGGTTGTGTCAACCTTATGAGCGTCCTCAGTCTGACATCTCTGAACCTCAAGCAAAGAAACCCAAGCAAGAAGAGACATCTGATTGTGAGGTTCTTCCTCCTGGCCTCAGCAAGAACAAGTTGAAGAAATTGCAAAGATATCCCAACAAGCAATTCAGACCTCGTGTTCTTGCTCCAAAATGTATCCAGTGTGCAAATCCAAGAGTGAGTTCTTCCCTCCACTGGATTTTTCATAGTCACAATGGCAAGGCTTTGATCACACAGATTTTCTTTCTTCTGCTATGCAGGGAGAAAAATGTGAACGCAAACTGTGTCGAGTGTGCTGCAAGAGCACATGTTATTCTGAGTCATTGGACTGCAATGGCCACAGGATTTGGATAGGCAGCAAGAGGCAGCAAGCACTCATCTCTACTCAACATCAAGTAACAGTAACACTTTGACCTGTGCCATTGTCTAGAACCTTATTCATTTGTTGTGGGGGAGTAATATGGTCACATTGTTGTTTTTTGTTTGGAGCAAGGACTTGTGAGTAAGTGACTAATGAAATGATCCATTTTAGGACAGTATGAAAGTCTTGCCTTTTATTTGTTATTCTGTGCCTTATGAGTGATAATTCATCCAGAACAGAAAACAAAATAAACTATGAACATTCCTGTATGGTTATTCATGGAGTTCCAGTGTGATGAGGTACCCAAGACAAAAGGGGTATTTTATGTGCTTTCATAGCCATGACATGTATGTGATAAAAGATGCCTTATAGGAATTCTCTATCCATTTTCCCTGTTCTTTTAACCCTTTGCACTCCATTTTATTTGTAACACTATGGAGATTGTCAGACTATGTTTGACAGTGGATTGCAAAGAGGTAATCCATGAAATAGAGACAGCATGGGGACTGCTGTCATTCATAGGTTTCTGTTGTTGCTGGGCATATTCTAGTGACCTGGTTAATCATGTCCATAATATGCTTCTTATCCTTTTAATTGTCTGCTTGGCTTTCAGGTTGAACTACATTATGCCTAGAATGCTCATTGAAATCAGCAGCAATCAATAACTACATCTACAGATGCTTCATGTTATCATTGTCACAAAAAGTGTAGCTACAGGGAGATACAAACCAGTTCCCAATTGCTGGATTGTTACAGGTTGTGTTTTTGATATGCATTTTCCTTTTCTCTCCCTCTTCACAAAGTATTTACAAGGTTTTTTCTTTTCAAGCATTTCTCTTTGCTAATTTCTCTCCTAATTTTAAGCAAGTTCACCTGGGGCATATTCCAGTGCTCAAACATGTAAACATCTGATTATAAGTATATGAATATGTAAGGAATTGCTACAGTTGCTAGTTGTGAGCTGAAGATTGCTAATCTGCAATATTGGAATTATTTATGAGTGCCAGTTAGAGGGTTAGAAAAGGGGAATGCATCTATTTAAAAAATATATATATATACATTTTGCTGTAAAATGCAAGGCATGCATATGCTTGCCAGCATGGGCTTCTAAGAATGCAAGGAACAAGCATCAGAAATGTTGTCTGAAACCCTATGGAGGCCATAGGGTTTCAGAAAAGGCACTAAGAAACCAGACAATGAAAACAAATTCCTTTTCCCAACCGCAACATTGAAATAATGACTTCAGGATTACTTCACTTCTCTAAACTTTCTGATAAAATTTCAGTGCAAGTTTTTGGTCTAGCGTGCTTAGAAGGGCATCCTCTAAAAAAGAGATGAGGACTGCCTCAAAGATGGCTCATCGGATCGAGAGGGACACCAGGGAAACTTCCTTATGACCACCAGGGTGCAATGAAATTTTGGTTTGCATGCAGACAGGTATCTTTACCCATTTACAGGAAAAAGATATTGCTATCTTTTTCAATACAACAACCAACATTAACCTCTGAACCAAGAACCTATAAAGTGATTGTTTCTTGATATGAGGGTTTCTGCTTCGTGACATTTGTTGACTGCTTGGCACTCCTGTTTTTCCATCAATGAGATTGGACTGTGTTGATATTGGATGAGGAAACATGACCATCATTACTGTGACTTCTCCTAAACATGAACTTATACATTCAAGGATGCTGCACCAAGACATCGCTATAGATATCTATTGAAACTTTCTAATGAAAGAACCCTGATGGGACCAGAAAAATGAAGTTGTCTTCCTCGTGGAAAATTGGATGTCTCACCAGAGTGATCCCCAATACCTGTCCCATTGAATAACTTCCTCCCCATTTAAATCATAGGTCAAGAGATAGCTTTAGGCCTTCTATCAGCTCCCATTGCTGATAACCACTGTGCTGCTGCTTGAGGTGTGTTTTTGGCTCAATAAGACAGACATATTTGAAGAAATTGTGCACAACACAATTGGGAGAGTTAGAGCCAGGTACATAATTTCTTGTAGATGAATTATTGGATTCTCCTTTTTATGAGGAAAATGTGAACCAAGAAAAGAATAATGATGTTAGAAAATTACTTGTTCCAAGACTGGAACATCAAGAAGCATGCCTATTGAGTTTTTTGTTATACGGATACTGATGAGCTAAAGCTCCTGGTCAGTTTGCTCACACTCAAACAAGGGCCTCTAGTTGCAGGTAATACAGACTGTTTGTTATTTAAATAAAATTTTAAAAAACCCTAACTGATTGAGATACACATCAGGTCAGGGTGAGAACATTAATTGAGCAGATCAGTGCCTGTCCATTTGGATATTTGGAAAAAGTCCACCCACATCGCATTACTCAAGGTAATAGATAAAAAACCACTCCACTTCAACCAAACAATGGCAAAGTCTGGTCTCAATACGTGAATGGACTGCATACATTTTCCTCTCTAAGCCATCAAGTTCAGAATCTCTGCATTTATGTACAAAAACTTGAGGGGGTTGGAGAGTTTGCCTTACCCTACCATCATGCACTGGTCTTCCTTGCCTCTGCATGTTTGGATAAAAAATTATACTCCTCGCCAAAGTCTCAGCAACTTTGTGCTGGGCATGCCACAAATCACTTTTGGATTGTCTTTAACCCTTTCACTGTGACACCCACATATACACATTCATGGGAAACCATACCACTACCATGATTCCCAAGTAGAGTCATTTCCAAACTTCATGTTCTCAGGGGGTCCCTATTAAAATACAATTATTCCTAGACTTAATCCCTAAAAGTCTAAGTTGCTTCACATCAGGAATGCTATGAACAAAAACCCAGTAACTAAGGCTACTGTACCATTTAAAACTCCACATTGAATGGGTTCATTAAGTGATGGGGAAAGCAACTTATTAGGCAAGCAATGATATTCTATTCTGCATGTACTAGTAGTAAGTCAAAGGTAGGTGGTAGTTTGAGTTAAGCTGCTCAACTTCCATGAATTTACAGTTACCACTTATTATATCCCTTTTCTCTTAAGGCTTTCTTCTTTTCATTATCTTCCAGCAGAAGAAATATAAACTTAACTACTAATATAATTACCTGCTGGAGTGGGTTGTGAGGTTATATAAAACTGATGGTCTCATCCTCATGCCTTGGAGACTAACTCTGAACCAAGACTCTGAAATGTTCATTGGGTATTTATTCCAATGCAGAGGAAGCATGCACATGCAAACCTCCTTTGTATACACGTCCACAATGCAAAACAAAAGGGGAGAGCTGGCACATCACAACTACACGACTCTCCAATCACATCTGGTGTCTTTCAGAGATATTGAGGAAAAAATACCAATAGAAAAACAAAAATTCTTGCTAACATAGTAGCCAACACTTGTCTTCATACTTCACTCCTCTTTGGCATGAAGATAGTCACAAATGGAGGGATGCATTCCTATTGGGGAGAGTGACTCAAAGCAGTAGCATATATCACCAGACCAGTCAACACAAAGCCCAACCAGGTCTGTGCAGCTTTTTTCTTTCCATCTCAGGTACTACGAATCGATCCTGCTTGACCGATGTGAAGGAGTCCCATGCAAATCAATTCAGCAGATGCCAAAAGATGCCTTTATCCTTGCATCTTATCTCTGCTGGCCATGTGGATGAGATTGACCTGCAGCTGGGATGGGGATCTGGGTGCTGCGTTGTGCACTCGTACTTGTGATGATACAAGGAGGACTAGCTGTGGATGCTGTTGTCCATGTGCACATCATCCCTACAGAACACAAACACAACAATGCCTTCAATCCTCCGATATAAGTTACAACGACTACTCCTTGAAAAAGAGTACATTACAAAATTGATTGCGTAGGTGTTAATTTTCATTCAGTTCTAAGATGACAACTTTCAGGATCTAAGGTAGGCAGATTTTATTATTATTTTGGCTTGTTCATTAGGGCCTCTGCAGAATACCAGCATAAATGCAACTGTTTAAAAAAACCAAGGCATGCAGAGCTCTGCATTGCAACTGGCACAGTTTCAGTCTATTTTTTAATGGTACTGTTAAAGTCTTCTTTTTATTATTTATTAAGTACACTAGATTCATCACCTATACACTGCCAAGGATTGTCAGAAAAAAGCAAATCACACATTTTACATGTGGACAGCATCTGCAGAATGTATGTCCACTGAAATGCAGTTACAGCACAAGAATGCTTAAAAAATGCAAAACAAGTTGAGTATGCTTTGCCCACCATATATTACACCAAAACCTCACATTGTTATTAGTATATATTTATGCTTATCTGATAATAATAAATTCACTAACACATCATACCTTCTATTGCAAAACAGTACACCATATACAACAGACTAGAAACCCTTAAATCAAGTTGGGTACGTTTTCATGGAGAATCTTGCCAACTCAAGAAAAGTACAAAATCTAAAAAATTTAACATTCATGTAAGTATTCAGAGGTTGACTTATCACTGGTTGCCTCAGCCAAATGCTATTTAAAAAGATGTTCTATTGCCCAATGTTAACAATTTTAGAGATTGAATTACTTTACCAAAGAATTATAAATTAAATTTATATCAAAATTTTACAAGGTCCAATGTCTCCAGTCAGCTGTCATGGGCTTCTTGGATGATACTATTTATTCCAGAGAAGATTATTATGGTTTCAAAGGAGATAAAAACAGATCTAACCTGAGGAAGGTGAGGTACTGAGCTTCTCTGATGTAGAGAGTTTTGAGAAGGATAGCAGTGCTTCTGGAAAATTTGGAGGAGTTGCTGGGGTGTTCGCTGGTGTGATCAGCTGGAAAATGACAATATCATTGTTGATGCAAGAACAAAATGCAAAAGAGGTGACAGATTGTAATGATCACAGTTACTGTACACATATTGAGTCTTTTCCTTTTTTCACACCAAGTGAACACTACATTGCTAAGAGTCAAGGCACACTCAGCTAATGATGACATAATGGCATGCCACTGGAGGGCTCAACAACCAAGTCACTTTTCAGCAGCAGGTTTCAAACCAAGACTTTTCCCTGAAGGTCCAATGCCAAGTATCATGGTTTGGTTGTGAATGAACAGTTGAAATTTGGTGTACAAGAAGAAGCTGTTTTTTCTAAGATTCTTCAGTTGCTCCTTCTTCACCTTAAGTTTGCTGAACTCTGTTTCCAATACCATGGCCCAATCATCAACCATTGTCTATGCATTTCTCCTATCCTTATTGAAAGATACTCTTCCTGTTTGACATGGATACTAACAAAAATAGTGTCTCTCTTTTGTGTGCATTCTGAAACTACTCAGTTGCTTTTTGCTGCTATAAATATCACGAGTTCTGCAAGATGTTCCAAAGAAGTGCTTCAGACAGAAGCTGTGATCTCTTTGAGAAATTCCAAAATGATGTCCACCATCCATTATTCAAAGCTATCAATGACTTAATGCCATCCAGGCAATATCAACTTTCAACTAGATCCTAAACTTAAGCCTCCCTCCCTCCCTTAATTCTGAATCCCTCCCAGGATTTAGCATTGAGATGTTCAGAAGCTTCGTTCAATGGATGGGAAGAGAACAAAAGTTTTGCTTCTGAGAATTGGAGCTTATATTTTAATTTATGCATTATTTGTAGCTGAGAGCAATAACAAACTGACACAAGGTGATAATAAACCATTCTATTCCATGAGTAGTGAGGATTCAATATAAGAAACTCAATATTTAGGAGGTGAACCAATTGTATGGGTAAACCTTCAGTTAGGAAGAATGAACTGTTTAAGGGCACTGAGAGGTCCCTAGAGTATATTCTAGGTCTTCATTCATCTGACTTTTCCAGTATCAAGTTTGTCATGGAGGTAATGTGATGAGAAGAGCATTTGCCACCTAAGACAGCTGAAGAGATGTAAACCATGCAAAGAGTAACTATAATGTACACAAGAGTTGATAAGTTCAGGTGGATGCAGTGGAGAACCATAAAAAGATGCAAATGCAACATGTCCAAACATTACCAACTAATTTCCACTACTATTGTTGTGAATGCCAGTAGAAATACATTCTTTCTAGTAAAAATTGAACTTTTTCAGGGGTGTAACAAATTCTACCTGGATTTATAAAAGCCCATAATATTGCAGGTAGTATGACAACTAGATTCTTAATATAAATGGCTACTTACAACAGACACTCTTGCAAATCTCAAATTAAATACAGCATTATCTTTATTTTAAAAAAAACCTAATAAATGCACGTTTACTTTTTTTGCTTCAGATTCATCCATTCATTTTGAATGAATGAGTGAAGAAAAAATAAAAATGAACAGTTTGCTAGTTATTTTTAGACCACCCTATATAATGGAAGTGTACTCCAGCGGCAAATGTGCATGCTTTTTCTAGTTCCCTTCATGAAGCGAAATGAAATATTGGTCCCTTCTCCTCCCCCCGGGGGTTTTTATTTTTACTTTCATCCCCTCGAAGTCCCCTGAAAATGTTATGAGCCTGCTAGAACGGGGATCCCCCAAGTCATTCAACGCCGTGAGAGGCCGTTTATCTCAGTCGTAGTTGTAACTGGAGAGCAGGGATTTTTTTTTATCGACATGACGCAGAGTGGAGCAAAAGTCGCCTGTTACGAATATAGCGGCGAAGGAGTAATAAAGGTCTAATCTCGAAGTGAGAAAAGCCCGAATTAGATTAGGGTTGTGCAAATCCAGAAATTGGAAATAATGGACGAATGGCTCTTAATTTCGTAAAAAATTTTTGAAAAAACTTCAGCCTGGGTGTTGCCCATGGGCTTGTGTCCCCGTATTAAGTTTATTTGCGAGCGACTCACTAAGGCATTATTTTGACTTCTCGTATGGAACTGAAAATGGAGCCGGACGGGAAGGGAACTCGTAGTGGCCTGTGTCTTGGCCTAAAACACAGGAGGAAGGTGATGACGTCACTTACTCAGTGCAAAACCACCTACTTAGCTTCTTTTTTTAAAACTGAGTTTATGTGAAAAAGGCAGGGCTATGGTTCATCATTCAATCCCCTCGTCTTGAAACGCATTGTACCCGAGTGGAGACGATGTTTTCCTCGTCCGATCCACGTGAGCACGACTGTCTATTATTGATAGAAACAACCTCTTCGTGCGTATTTATGGAAACTACGAAGTAATGACGCTGATTCATCCGATCGACTGAATTCTGGGAAGCGATCGATTTTCATCAGGATCTGTATCCTTCCTTACCATTCCCAAGTCGTGGTTACGGGCATCACAGGGGGCGAAGGATAAGAAAGAGACGTGAAAAAAAATCCGTCATTGGAAGGTATGGGAATGTGAATGGTGTTGGGAAACCGCGTGGCCGCGTCCTGTCCGGTTCCGGTTCAACGATCCCTTTCTGTGGCTTTCAATGAAGGAAAAAAAGCAGGAGAGGGAAACATTGAGTCCCACGAGAAGTGAAGCAATCCCCACGGGAGCGGAACCGGCGGGGGATTCACTATATTAGACTTGTCTTTTTGATGGTGCCTAGAAATCTTCCATGAAAAGAAAGATGAGAGAGCGCGGGTGGAAAGAGGAAGGAAAGTCAGCATCGATCCACTTCCTCTGGAACTGGTAGGGTTCAATGGACGACGGAGAAACGAAGATCCCCTATGGCCCAAGTACCAAATCGAGTACGCGATAGACAGGCCCCGGGTCGACTACTCCACAACGCGAAATGGAGATGAAAAAAACCGAGCGAGGGGGAAGTGGCCTGGAGGGGTTTCCAAGAAGACAGAACAGAGGGCTTTGTGGACATGATTACAAGCCCGCAGCTCCACACCCACGCACGCGCAGACACGCAAGTCCAGTCCGCACCAAAACATACGCCACGAGAATCCTCACGGAACTACTGACGATGGCCTCGATCCATCATTTGCCAAATGAGACCGTGGATCCCAAATCCCAATATTAGAACATTTCTCCACAATCGACCTGAGCTTGTTTGCTGAAGCAATAATAGTATTCAAATCCAGATAAGACATTTGACAAAAAAAGAAAATTTATCCGATAAGAACCTTCCCTCCTCTATTCATGATAAACTGCGTATAGGCGCGATAATGACGACGTTTAGAGAGAGATGAGAGAAGCAAAAAAGAAAGAGGGCGTATACCCAGTAACCCGTTCACGTGACGAGGGCGTGATCAAAACAATCTGAGAATCCGTCTTGGGTTGGGCAAGCACCCCATTCCTGATATGGAACCATGTTTACACTACGTTCCAATCCCCTCATTCTATAACTTCGTCATTCCCAGACACAACACGAGCAGATTGACATCCTTGTCTGGACTCCTTCACATGAACTCTCTCGACCCTCTAGAAAGTATGAATTAAAAAAAAAAACATGCCGTAGGTCGAGACACAGGAAAGGAGTCGTTAACACGAGGGCAGCCGACAAGCCCTTGTTTTATACCTGGCACTCCGCCAGGGCTTTTTCTCTTCTGTGAACATATTCGTGATCTACGTCTCTTCCCTCCCCTCCAAGATCGTCCTTGTACTCGGGGTGCCACAGCACAGTAGTTACATAATTCATAGCACAGGAAGTTGTGACAAGTTAGCCTATCGCATGGACCAACAGGATTCGAATGACGGACTAGTATATCCGGAGAAAGTTCCATTTCATAACTATGACTCACCGGATTTGAGTGGTTACTCTTCTGATTACACACAGGGATGGCCGCTTCTTGGAAAAATATACTCAATGCCGTCTGAAAAGAATGAAAAGCAAGAACTTCGTCACGACGAAGGAGCTTGAAGGCAGAGTCTGCTAGGGCCTACAGAGCCCTTCAATCTTAAACAGGATTAGGCCTAGACCTACAAGAGTGTTAAAACAGCTCGTTACAGGCCTTGACGGTCCTTCTGACACGCTAACTCATTTCACGAGCTCACCTCAAATTGCCAGTGAGCAGCTTGAAGGAGTTGCTTGGCTTGTTCCCGGGCGCATCCGGCTGCGAGCACGAATTGGTTGATCATCACTTGTTCCCGCAGAGATTCCATGAAAGGGAGAGGAGGAAAACAAAGACGACGTGAATCGCACGCACAAATACACGCGTGAACGAGAGGGAGTAAGCGAATATAGTGAGCGCAGGAAAGAAGCGGAAATGGAATGGCCGTGCCGTTCCCTTCTTTCACCTCACTCCCCCTGACGTCATCGTCTCTTTGCCACGAAACGGACCAATGGGAGCGAGGGAACAGCGTGGAGCTTTGTTTACGTCCTTCCCAGTCGTGGACATACTCCCTCCTGCACCGGCCCCGTTCTGGCCTTGTTTGCGTAGGATCACCTTGCTACGTCCGTCACCTGCTGACATCTAGCGGAGAATTTCTCGTCTTTCGTTTTACTACATGGTTGACAGAGAGCGGACTCTCCCGCTCCTGATTCTTCGTACCCACCGACCGACTAAAGGGGAAAACTGCTTGGTACCACATTTCATATAAGAAATTTCCCCGCTTATAGTCTGGGCCAAAGTAATTTGCGCATCTATTGTGTATTCGGTAGAGCACATAAAGAAAGATGTTTTTACATCCGCTAGACATGCAGAATGTTTAACTTTTTTCGGAGTTTTCTTTTTCGGTTCATGAAAGTCTGATTCCAGCGTTGCTTTAGGCCTAACTCTTTCCTGCTTGCTCTCAAACTCAGTCGCGGGAATGGAAGAGAAATTTACTTTTTCCTGGATCGATTCCGCCCTTTAATTTTCATCACATCTAATACCATGATCCAGTGTCTCCTTTGGCCATATTCGATCTCATCGTACAGTTTCTTCAAATTCTGTCAGAGGGAAGAACTCTCGGTCCCCGAATTGCGTTGCGAATTCTGAAAGTTGAAAGTTGAAACCCCTCCAAATGGACCTAAATATTTCCTTACAAGTGTTTTCTCAAATAACAACCGTTTCTTTCTTTTCTTTTTTCTTACTTCCGAGAGAAAAACACATCTCATCTAGTATATTGAAAACGGTCTAGATTAATTATCTTAGCTTAAACATTACCTGTTTGAGCATCAGCCCTAGCTTGAGAAAACATTCCAGGGACATACAATCGTTTAGGATCCATCGACGGCCTGGTAGAGGAAGCGTGAATAGACATGTTGACTTTGTCTCTGGTGGACACGCTTTTCGAAGCATCTCTCCAACCGTAGCCACAACGATCTGTGTCATTATTATGGAATACTGAGTATTTGCCTCCCATCGAGGAACATTTTACGTTTCCATCGAGTTTCACATTGTCATTTAACTAGTCAGCCTCGTCTTCGATTCGACACGTCAAACGAATGGTTGAAATCATTACATCGAGTGTGACATCCGCGCTTGTTCAAGTTTGGGAATCGTCACGACTGTTCGGAAATGATCCTCAATCAGGAGGAGAGACTCGAAACTGAATCCCAGGAGTAAAAGTTGCTAGCAGGATCGCCCGGACGTGTGAGCCTGTCCTTCCATCAGCTTCCCTTGGGCATTCCCCCTCTTTTTGGACGGTAAGGGTGCGTAAACGGGAAGGGCATGTAGCAAAATGGGCAAAACGCAGCACTCGTATACTTTTGGATGTTGACGAACGTAAACGTAAAGAAATATCAAAACGTATTTGTTTGTAAATTATACTTTAATGGATCGTTCACGATAAAGAAGAGGTATTTCACCGATCGAGCGGTCCTTGCCGTTCACGTTTCTAGTCATCAGCAAACCCAGTTTAAAATGTTGCGAGCCGCTTTTCTATACTTTTCAGAGTGAATATTCAAATTCATCTGAGCATCCCGACCGAAAAGTAGGATGAGCGGAAACCGTACTGACCCCATAAATGTCCTTAGCGGCAATCGGTCGGTGATCGATTTCGCTCGAGTCATTTTAACCAGATGAAACTTATGCGAGCGTGGCCGAGGTCTCGCGATCTGAAGTGTTAATGGACCTGAGTTCATTTCTCCATCTCCACACTTCTACCCCTTCCCGTTACAAAATGCAACCTTTTCACATTCCTCTCTGAAAGCATCTCCAGATGCTTTCTGAGCGAATGAAAATGGAACAAAATTGGACATGCTTCTTACCCTCTCAGCACAGAATCGCTCCAGCGAATTTGTAACTCCATCTCCCCGGGGTTGCGGAGTTTTCATTTTTCAAAATATTTTTCAAAGACGTTTACATGCTATATTCCTCTCGAACGACCTTCTGTAAGATCATCACATGTCACTCCTGAAATTCCTGCTTTTGACCTGTTTTTCAAGATTGCAAGTAAAGTAGCAATAGGGCATCCGAAGCCAATTCCTACTCTCTGAAGGGAAGGGGAGGGGGGAATTACTGGGCATTTACCTAAGTCAAGGAGTCCCGGACGGCGTCACTCATGGCTAAGAAAGGATGACCGGTTACATTTCTCTGTGAGCAAGCCAATCCTGTTATTTTTATTTTTACCCACATAAACAGTGGGTAAAAAGTGAACGCAGTTGCTTTGTCTTTTGGTTGGGTTTTCTTTAATTATTATTATTCTGTTTATTTTAAATATGCTGCCATGGGCACTGTTTTTGCTCCGAATCTGTCGGCTCCGTAACGGTATATCCTCGGCTTCGTAACTCACGTCCCTGTCGAATTAGTCATGTGAGGAATGAACCGCTAGCCTTCTTCCCACTCATGGGGTGTGGCTTTTGGGAACTCAAGTACTGAACTGGAAACGTAAGGGCCAAAAGAAAGTACTGAAGTTAAAAATACGTAAGCCGCCCTTCTGCTGAAATTATAACGGATTTCGGAAAAGGAGAATCGATGGCCTTGTCTTCTCGTGACTGTATATCTAACGAATATCTCAGGTACCTAACTCGCGAAGTATGCAGACGTAATAATAAAAAAATCATGTGTTACCGTACCGCAGAAACAATTGAACAAACTTTGAATAAGGGGGGAGTGATGAACTAGTCTTCCCGAGGCTTTAAGACTCGTTGGAATCTCAAGGACGTAATTAATAGAGAAAATTTAAAAACTAAAATGTAAAACAAGCTAGTTGGGAAATGGCAAGGGAGGTTTTTGACAGTTGATCACAATTGAACTTGATCAAACGATGGCGGAATTATGCCACCGACTGAACATGGGTAGCGGCATCCCGCGCGGCATGATGTCAAAACTCTCCCCTGTGCATGGGCCACATTTGCCCAACAAAACCAACATCTGTTGGATGTTGAGAAGGAGGAAGGGGGAGGAGTTCAGTCAAGAGAAGGGGAGAGAGACCTCTCGACCTTGTGAGAACGTGAGGCCCCGGTTTGGCCTGCGGCCAAGGAACGGCCCTGGATTGAAATAGGCTACTTAAGAAACCATGCCACCGTGGCCACCAGAATTGTTTCCCTTGCTCAGTTCTCCGAGTGCAAAGAATGGGCCACTCCTTCACCTTCCTTTTTTTCGACAGGCTTGGTTTTTACATGGACACACGAGCTATTTGTCTCAAACCTCCCATTCGGATTTTGACGGAGATCCAGTGCCATGACAATGACGTGATGATTTTGCAAGGTGATTTTTGAGTGTACTGAGTCTTGACATCTAAACGGGTGCAACCTGAAATCCCGGAGGGAAGGATTATTTTGCTTTAATAAAAAAAATGTGGGAGAAGGAAGAAACACATTAAAACATTGATACAGAAAATAAAATGTGTTCTTATTGACAACAGCTGTGGCTGCTCCAACTCAAGCGGCAGGTGGGGACTGTTGCAGCAGTTTTCCAAATGGAGGCGGCCATTTTCACCCTGATGAAACAAAAGCTCGTGATATCATGACAAGTAATTTAATGTTTGCTGCTAAAGAGTTGTTAAATGTGTGCCTAAAAGCCCATTCAAATCAAGGCTCTACAGTCTGATTTACAGCATGTTGAAGTCAATAGCTTGGTTTGTTTTTTTTATTTATCCACCCTGTATAACCTAGTCCTTGCCTGCCAACACATTGAGAAAATGCTGACTCTCGCTATAATTGCATTCATTATTTTGTATTTGATCAGCAGAAGCAAACTCATTTCTGCTTATGTCACATGAAGTGTATGTCAAAATGCATCAAGTGTGACGGGGGGTTGCAAGTAAAATGCTTTCTAAAATATCACACCAAATAAGTGCAGACTGTGCAAGTACAGGTGACTCGTTTTACGCGGAGGTTGCGTTCCTGGAAATCGTATCCACTTTGTAGGGAGGAGGGAACAACATGTTTGCGACAACGCCGATAACGAAAGTGCGTATAACGAGAGTCACCTGTATTTATTTATTTATTTAAATAATAATATGTACCCTCTGACTTCAAGATAGGCTTGCTTTTATTTTCATTTCATTTTATAAAAATCACATTTCTATAAATTTGTGAGGTCTTATAGTTTATCCCCCTTCTTAACCCTTCCATGAAAAGAACATGATTTCAATCAGGTCCTACTATGGGTAAACTGTGTTAGTATTTATTTAGGAACTTACACTTTTCTATTCAATTGAAAATTCCATAAACTGCTAATATTCCACCCCCCTTTTCGAAAATGAATTTTAATGCGGAACATAGTTAATGAAAAGTTTGTGGTAATATAAATTTTTGTAGTCAGAATAGAACTTGTACAAGAAATTGCCTTAGATAAAGTGAAGCGTGTGCATATTCAAAACATCTTAAATATAATATATTTTCACAAATAATACTCCGGATTAAAAAAAAATTGTAATGATCAGAAGGCTCAAATTATTGATATATTTTAAAGGAAAATAAAAAATTCGAAAAAAAATTAATTCAGGCGCATCTGGGTTGACCTTGATTAAATAGGGTCCTGGACGGCGATTCATGAAGCCCTCGTGAATTACGGTAATCCAAAGTTGCATCAAAAAGCTGTATTTTTATCACTAAACTCCCACTTGCGTTCCATTCTAATATGATCTCGGCATCGCAAGAGTTTCATGAATCCTGTATTTTTTAAATATTCGATTTACCTGTAAGAGCTCATGCGCTGTTCTTCCTTCATATACGGTACTGCCTAGGCTTTAATTGAAGTCCTGGGTTCAATTTTGAGGACAAAAAGGATGTATGGGAACGAGAATACGGAAGGTCTTTAGACACAGTGAGGCTATACTCACCGAAGAAATGGTTCACGACGGGGGATCACATCCTCACATTATAGCATCAATAAGGCTTTGATGCCTTGGAGCGCAATAGATTTTTTTTTCAAAGCAGAGTGACAGCAGAACGAGGGGGAA